ATTTTCAGTCTGAACCTTATTGTTCGTGCCAAAGTTTCCATTTAAATCGTTGTGACTCATTCCTCCTTAAGCTCCAAAGTTTTGGTGACCTGCCTGTTGCTGTTAGTCTTAACATGAACAACATTAATGAACAGAAGTACTAAAAAGCTCAGCACATCACACACACCGCTAACTGCTGGGTCGACTAGTAAAGGGAATGATAGAATCATGAAAAGAGGCTTTGTGTTCATGCATAAGACAATAGCTCCCACATGGCAGCAGGACTTTAAACCAGACACAGCAGTGAGTCATAAGACATACTGTCCAAAAGTCAGCAGATCAATACCAGAAAGCACAGTAAAGCAAACATATACTCAAAGAAAGCAGACTGATATGAATAACGGGGCATCTGACAGGCAGACATGCGGTCACAGTTTGAGTGTAAATCATACCTCTGCTTCTCTGAGGACTGTGATGGATCTGATGGGATGTTTGTGTCCTTCCTTCAAAACACAGAGGATGGAAAAGGTCTTCGTTCCCTGACAGCAGTCCTGAAGGGAGTCTGTGCTGTGACTGCTGTTGGAGGCGCCGGTCTCAGTGAAAATACTTGTTCTCTCTGCGTGGCGGAGCTTAGTCCATGTGGCTGGATGGGGAAAGGGAAATGAACTTTCTGGGCAAAGAGCCAAGAGCAGAGTGGGTTTTAAAGACACAGCATGTTTGCAGTGCTATATACAGATCAGGCACACTTTACACCGAGTAACAAGTAAAGACCTTTCCAGCTTCTGTATTTATCAAAGTTAGCATTTAGCATTAAAATGGACCATACAACACTACATTGTCAAATTATCTAAATGTAAACTAACATAATAGGGTCACATTAGTAACGTTAGTAGCTTAAATCTACAATAATGCATAACACTCACACAAAATCTCACAGAATGTCCTTCTTCTAGTGGTGAAATGTGAATTACTTACTTTTCACTGTACTGTGCTTCCACTTTCCTTTTCTCCAAACAGTTTTGAATGCCAAACTTTTTATTGTGTTTTAACACATTGGTATATGTTCAGTTGTCCTACATTAAGCCCTTTGCAGTGCATGTTTAATAAAAAAAATGCAGTTATAGTAATTGATATTACCATATCATTGAAACTAAAAGTATTAAAGGTCCCATGTCATGGCCATTTCTACTGATCATAATTCCATTGTTGAGGTATACTAAAATAGATTTATACTGTGCAATTTTCCAAACTCACATTGGTTTCTCATACAGCATCTCTGTAAAGTATGTGTATTCACCAGGTATTCACGCTCTGTTCTAAACGGCTTGTTGGAGCTCCTGCCCCCCCCCTCCCTGTGAGCCCAGTGTGCTCTGATTGGTCGGGACGTTGAGAGGCTCGTTGCTGCGATCTGCTCCGCTCCTCGCAGCAGATCGCAGCAACGAGCCTCTCGGCGATACAGCGAGAACAAGCGAAATTCATCCTGAGCACACACAAAGACTCACAGCCGAAGTAAAAACAATAAGTGTGGCTTGATATTGAGTAAGAAAAAGGTTTATAACGCTGTGAGCATGGGTCTGCGGAGAGCATTTCTCCGCGATCCCAACTTAGTAGCCCGAAAAACGTTTACCCATTTAAACAGTCGTGGTAGATACCTTGTTTGTTTTAAACATCATAAATACACAAACAACAATGAATACTTACAGGTTGTTAACCCGAATCTCCCGCTGGTCCAAACAAAGTAGGAACAGCATCGTTCTTAAGTGCCCTACGCTGTACATATCCGGCATGAATCGCTGAAAGGTTTGGGAAGCTTTGTTTCCTGAAAGGCTGGCAGAGGGTGTGGCCTCTGGGTATCCCCACGTCAGAGTACCCAGGAAGAAAATGAGAAATCTCCAACGAGGCATTTTGGGGAGGTCTTTTCTGTGTTTGAGTTTTATTTGTTATGAAGGTTTTTCTGCATGTAAACGGTCTGCAAAGTCACAAACCCTCAAAGTACACCCTGTAGCGAGTAAAACTCTAACAAAGAAAAGACCTGTCTGCTGCCCCAGAACGCCTCGTTGGAGATTTCTCTTTTTCTTCCTGGGTACAGTGACGTGCCCATACCCAAATGGACCCATTGGTCCAATCCGTGGAGCCGTTACGTTACGTCCGCGGAGCCGTTACATTTGGACCAATCCGCGGACTTCCTCACACACACACACTCAATCTTTTCTCAGCTGCAGCTCCGCCGATTTCTCCTCCCTGAGACGGCGGGTCGCGGCGAGGCTGAGTCGGTGTGTGAGCACACACACAAACTCCCAGCCAGGCTGTGGGTGTGTGTGTGTGTTCGGGCTGGTTTTCGCTGTGTCTCGCTGTCTCGCAGACGGCCACTGGGCTCATAGGGAGCAGAGATACAGAGATGCTGTATGAGAAACCAATGCTATTTTGGAAAATTGCACAATATAAATCTATTTTAGTAGACCTCAACAATGGAATTATGATCAGTAGAAATGGCCATGACATGGGACCTTTAAGCAAACACAAGCAGTCAGTTGTGAATAAGTGAACTGATGTCTCCCTCTTTTGGTGAATCATGAGAAGGCAACTGCAACAGAAAACAAGCTATAATAATAATAATTACTTTGCTTTATCATATACGTTCATCTCTATTATTTTTATTTTTATTGTTTTTGCCAGTCTGTTTTTGCCAGTCTGAAAAATAAGAAACCAGCTTGAACTAAGGCTTAAATTACATTGAGAACATCACAGTGCAACATGCTAACTAACTGCTTCTGGCATGGAATAATTATGTTTATAGTGAGTCCATTTGTAACATTAATTATCGTCATGTTTGCTTTCAGGAAACACATGACATCACCTCTTCATCCCCAGGGAGGCAAATCAGAAAGCTAATGACTGTACATAGACTCATCACAGCCGAGCATCACACAGAGGCACTGCAGCAGTCCACAGTCCACTATGAGCCGAGGTTTTCATCGCAATATGTGATGAGATCGTTTTCTCCTCTGCTGCTTCTTTCTTACTATAGAGCAGGCTGGCCTCCATATGCATCCTCCTATAGCCCCCATTCATTCCCACTGTAGCCTGGCAACAAGCTACTTGATGCTAAGCTTCACCACTTCAAGATGAGGTGATACAAAAAGGCTTAGTAATATCAAGATGTTTCTTACAATTTGAGGCCCTGAAAACCTGTTTTCTCAACTAGCTTTTGTGATGACAACGTGAACACATTTGTCTTTTTTATACCTTGAACAGCTTTTGGTGAAGTCACTGTTTAGTTATTTATTTATCTCGCTGGTTTGAGGTTGGTAAATTACAGTAGGGGGCTCTCTCAGTAAAGTTTTCACTGAATGCTGAAAAATAGAGGATTCTGGGCATTACAAAAAATATGAAAGAGAGAGGCTGCTGAATGTATTGCACAAAACACACTTATAACAACCCTGAATATTTCCAGATCAATAATGTTATACGCATTAGGGACAGAAGATAAGTCAGATGCGCTGTGCTAACACATTTTTTACATTTTGTATTAAAAAATGTCCAATACCAGGACATTAAGCTATTGATTCTATGCATTTGTAGCATTACAAATATTAAGTAATGTCACATACTGTTAGAGCTGGTGGGTTGTTCTTTTTACTGTCAATCAAATCTGATCAAACTCCAGCCACATCTTCCTGATGACAGCATGCAGCAGATCAGTCAGCATCTGCCCCTAGCAATCAGGGTTTTTGAGAGTTAAACCGTGAATAAGTAATACCTTAAGATTCGTTTTGAAAACTTTGATTCATCAATATTTAATGTTAAAGTAAAAGCCTTGATTTAAAGCCACGCTTTGGGGAGCTTACATATTTGCTGACATCCAGCAGTCAAACCTCTTGCCTTGCTGGAATTACATATAGGACACTGTGACATGGCTGGGTGCCACAAATGCAGCAGAGCACACTTCTGACCACAGCCAACCAAAATTGAATATCAGTTACTAGTTATACCTGCAATATCCAATTGGCCCCTTGAGGGTACAGTAGCAATGTGCTGTACCACTCGTTAAGTTGATGTTGAAATGAATGCAAAAAGTGTCTTTTTTACACATCAAGTAGATATTAAGCAACATAATCATTCAATTTTTTGTTTGTTACAACCAGGCAAATCTAAGTCCAATATTTTGGTCTCCACCAACTCATGCAAGAAATCTCTGGTTCTTCAACTGCAAAGTAGCAAGCACAGGTAGCAAGTAATGTAGTTGGGTCAATGGAGCATTTCCATTGAAAGCACCTCATTGCTGCAGTTGAAAAACAATGCAACTAGTGGGATGAACATGAACCAAAACAGGTATGTTTTTAGCTGGGCAGCTAAACAATGGGACTACATTGAATACATATGTGACGTAATTGAAGTGTTTACATCAGCTATACAAACAAAGCTATCTTACAGTTTTCATAAAAAAAGGACTTTATAAAGTGAAATGTGTAGCTTACAAACCTGTCCACATACAACCATATTCATTGGTGTCCTTGTCCATGTGGTTTGGCCAACACTGCACTTTTGCCACCCAGTGCGACTTACTTTCCGGTGGAAAGTGACGTCATTGCACACCGTTTAAATAAACCCATATATCCTTGAGGATTTGCTGATTCAAATGTTAATTAACTGAAGGTTCATCCATGTCTAAACATTGTATCAAAACTATTAATAAGCCTATACCAACTTTACATTTGAAGCCAAGTGTTCAGGAGATATTCATATAATAATATATTAAAATAGCAATCAATTAGGCCTACTTATAATATAAATCAATTTTCAAATGCTTTATTTGTTCAATACTTCAATGTCAATACGAATAAGTGTTTATTTTGCAGGAGATACTCCATCTGCTAAATGTTCTTCTGTTGCTGTGCAAACTACAAGTTGAAATCTTAGATGCAGGCTCTGCTTTTGCATAAATACCGGTAAAGATTCTTATTGATGGACACAATTTAAGAAAAAAACATTTTGTACAAATCAGAATGTGACTCAAATCTGTCCAGCTCTCGGGTTCCCTGCCACAGATCAGATGTGAAGGATGGATGTGATGAAGATGTTACATCACTTGCAGTGCAGCCAGACGCCAGCAGCAGCTCGGAGGTATCGCGGCGCACAAACCAAGCTGGCCATATTGTGCACCAGCTCTCCGCAAATCGTCTGCGTCACACCTACAAAAACATAAACCGGCTCTGGAGCAATTAAGTCACCACATCGGGAAAAAGACGCTGTTTTTAAAACGCTACTCATCTGAGCTGGTAAGTGTTTGGATGCGGGAATTCATTTTTTTCACGGTGATGCATCTGTCCCATTATGTCGATGCCTTGCTTGTCCTCTCCTGCGCTTTTGTGGTTAACAGGCTTTCTCATGGCCCACATAGCGCCTCACATCTTTTTGTTTGATATGTAGCCTACTGCTGTTTGCATATGTAAAAAAACATCTTGATATTAATCATTAAATGATTTATGTAGAGAATAATCCTAATCCCCCTCGTTTAGCAGTAATACGCGCTTGTTTATCCCCCCTCAGGTTGATTTTTCGTGCAGCGAAAATGGTTAAACTGGGGAATAATTTCAGCGACAAAAACAACGGGAAGGTGGTTTCTGAAGATGGGTTTGACACCATCCCTCTCATAACACCATTAGATGCCAGTCAGCTCCAGTTTCCTCCACCAGATAAGGTAAGATTTGTTATGTTATATTTCTCCATTGATTTGGAGAAGTCACAGTGAGGGGCCCTTTCTCATGTATTTCTATCATTCCAATTAGTCCAATTAAGATGATAACAATGAAGGAAAACACATTTATTTTGTGTAACCAATAATTTTCTTACATGTCTGTTATTTTCTATAGAACAATACACATGATTCTCCTGCTTCTGTAATCCCCCATTTTCTTCCTAGAGCTATACCTGATAAGCGGATATTCTCTCCTGTACATGTGTGTGTGTTATGTGTTTCTACTAGGTGGTGGTGAAGACAAAGGCAGACTATGACGGTGATAGCAAGAAGGGGAAGCTTCGGTCTCCTAAAATTGCAGAGTTTTCAATAAGCATCATCGAAGGCGTATCTGAGCGTCTCAAAGTAAGAATGATGTCGCTGCCTGCCATCGTTTTGCGTTTCATACATCATCCCATTTCCAATATGTGTCTCACACTCCTACTCGTGCATATGCCCCCAGAGCAGACGGCTATCTCCCTGCAGCTCAGGACGTTTGTCATAATAACCCCCCCCCCCCCCCTTTCCAAGTTATACTTCCTTGCTCATGCTACTTAAATGGTCTGTGCCTGTCATCTTGTCGTAGCTATACACAGGAAGACATAATGCACAATGATTCGGTTAACCCCGCCCTGAAACGCTCATTAATTCAGCTGCTGCCATGGCGATGGCCTCCAAACGGCAGCATCGCTCCCACCTCCCTCAACACCCCCCTGGCTGATACACCATATACATGATTAAAACATATGCTTTTGCAAAAGGAGTGGTCAAATCCTACTTTTGGTTCACTGAAGACTCCCTTGCATACTTCAAAATTCATGAGCTGTGTTGTGCATATGCAACACTCTTCCCCCGCGATCAAAATCAACAGATGAAACAGTCCCTGTGAGTTAAGCTTCCTTCAGTGATCCAGCTTTAATTCTGAAACATCTAAAAGGCAAGGAGGCGCATCACTGTCTCAGAGAACACAGCTCGCATCCTCTGATCAAGACTTTGAAAAGCTGCCCTTTCATCACACATAGTTTCTTTCATACTTTCCTGTTGCTTTGCCTTGTACATGTCCTTCTGTCTGCTCTGCTGTGCAACTGCAGGATTCAAACAGACAGATACAAAATTATATTTTTTCACTGATATTGATACATGCTGTTAACAGTCCCATAAAATAAGTGAACCTGGTTTGAATTTGAATGCACAGCACTTTGCTCCCAAATCAAAGAAATCCTCAAGAATATCCTGACAGAAAACTCAACACTTGCATCATGCTTCACTGTTTCAACTTCCTAGCTGTTGCTTTAGAAAATCAAATTTCCCCGCAAGCAAAAAAAACCATATCGACTGTTAAAAATAGCTCGGGGCTCAACATCTTCAGCGATAATGAGGCAATTTCTCCCACACTTTGTCTTGTCCCCCTCCCACTTCCTAGAAACACCAGTAGCCATTACATAACTCCCCAGAGAGGTGAGAGCTGGGCTTTACAGATGGTCGCACTAGCCATTTTTCTGTTGCGCTACTACACGCAGAACATTGTGTATAGGCCTGACTGGTTGTTACCTTCTGTTATATATACACCCACGTAGGACATATAACTTGGACTTCTCACCTACATCAATGTGCAACTCTCACATGGATATGTTTTCTTTTAATACTGCAGCATTGCAACAGAAAATAGTCAGAAATATAAAATCTGGGGATGCACAATAAGTTGTTTCAGCATAATAGTTACATTGCATTATGTGCAATGTCAAGAAAGGCACATTTACTCAAACATACTGTGAAATTACTACAATTTAAGGGTTCTTGGATGCTCAGAGTTTTTTGCTAGTAAGTGAAAACAGGCTCTGTATGCACATGGAACCACTAACCACAACCTTAGATCAATTTAGTAAACAACCAAAGCATATCCTGATGGTCCTTGACCACAACCTGAAAATAAGTGAGGAACAGGTGAAAAAGCAGAAAGACACAATGTCAGTGGTATGGAAACAGGTTGACTACAGTAATGTTGATGTTGTCTGAAAATAGGTACTCTGTCATCATCTTGTGAAAATTCCTGTACATTTCCATATTGCAAAATATATAGTGCGGAAGAAAATATGTCTCGCCTTAATAAAATCTGTTGTCCCACTCCTTTCCCGTCATGAAGACACACATGGTAGCTTTCTTCTCTTAGCGGAGCTGTCACATACAATGGATCTGATGATGGAGCTGTGTGTTTCTTCTTCAGGTGACCCTGCTGGTGATCTGTGCCCTGGCCTTCCTGGTGTGTGTGGTGTTCCTGGTTGTCTACAAGGTCTACCAGTACGAGCAGCCCTGCCCTGACAGCTTTGTTTACACGGTAAACACTTTTAACATTATTGTTTGTGACCCCATCTGACGGGGATATGTTAATGTGATCATTTTACTTTAGTGATACCCTTTTGTCCCATTTTTCTATAAAGTGTTTTTTGAATTGTGTTGAAGAGTGATACCTAAATAAGGTTTATTGCACAACGAATACACCTTGGACAGTGCAAAACACATATAGACAGCCAGGCTGTTATAATAGTGTTCAAATTGCATTGTGTTGCAAATAAATTCAGCAATGGTATTCAAGTATTTCTGAATTTTAAAGATTCTGTTTCACAATTAAAGTTGATTTTTTTTTTGCCTGCAAATTTACCCATTTAATACCGCTGACATTCATTACATAGATAATGTTAAATGAATGAATGATTTAATAGTTTTTTTACTTCTTCATTAGCTAAAATCTGGGGAATCAGTACAGCCACTACAAGTCACCAGCTTTTGGTTTTTAAATGAATCTGAATGAATGAATCTGTTTTATGGTACTTAAAAGCAAGATTATAACTTCTAATACATACAATATAACACAAATCTCACTCTTGCAAATGAAGCATTTAATTAATGAGCAACAAAACAAACCATTGCTCAGTGCACTCCAGAGCTTTGCTTCTACAGCCTTACTTCAAATGGTATAACTGTAATGTAGCTAATGCTAGCTTATGTTTGCAAAACATAGATAACATGTTGTTGACTTTATGACTGTTTCCTCTGGCATTACATTAGTTTATAATTTGGCTGAATGGATTAAGCATTATCCCACCGCTGTCCCTTATAGCCACAGTGGCTGCTGTTCAGCAAAAAGCTATAAAGCCTTTGTGTAAAATCTGCAGGAGTGGAATCAAGTAGTGTTGACTCATCTTCTGCATACGTCTAATCCATGTTCACAGTAGTATGCAGCCTAGCTTCTATCGAGTATTTTTTCTGCTCCGTTTTCATTTTTCGTGTGATGTGTTCCTCTGGTACAAACAGTGCAGCTCCGTTTTGTCACATTCGTCTCACCTTTACTCCTCATTTAACTGAACAGTGAATCACTGCTTGTTTCTTAGAATGACATTATACTGTCCTGAATAACAATTTTGTCACACTGTAATGTTTTTTATTTTGTACTTTGTCTCGCCTCAGTGTTTTTTAATCAATTTCCCTCTCTCTTTGGAGCAGCAAGGTCGCTGCATGCCGGCTGGGCTGTATGGAAACTACCCCCCTCAGGGCCCTGGGGGCCGCGGGCGCCTCTTTACGCTCATCAACCACTACAACATAGCCAAGCAGACCATCACCCGGTCAGTATCACCATGGATGACCATCATGTCTGAGGAAAAGGTCACTCAGCAGGAGACGGAGACTGCCCAGAAACTGGCTTAACCAATCTGGTATCGGGTGGTGGCCTCACCTGCTGCAGAAATAATAATTAAATAATACGGTTGTGCCATTTAAGCAAACCTCAGAGTCCCGTGGCTTTTGGGTGAAACAACTTCTCTTGCCTGAGGTGCTCTGCTGCTGTGTTGATGTAGTTTGGTCAGCTGATTTGTACTGTAGCAGAAAAATCTGTTTTCAGCAAAGCAAGCCTTACCGCTGGGTGGATTCACGGTTTGTTTGAATCGCATATGTTGTTATTTATTTACACTTCAAAACAGAGTGGCAAACGTGTAGAAAGAGCCACTGGAATACAGACACACACTCACTGTCCATGTACATACACATAAGTAACAGAACCCACTTTAGTACTCACATTGTGAAATGACTGTGAACCATCTTCTGTCTGCGTCGCTTGTTATATCGTATATGCACGCAAGACTCTAAACAAAAAATCACTTTGGACCTCATTCATATCAAATACATCAAGTACTGATAGTGCATGTCAGACCTCACCAGGTCTAGAAAGTGTTACATTTTAATGAAGCGGCAAAGTTTGCAGCATTATTTGCCACCAAGGTCATCTGTGTCAAATCTTTTACTGTCATGTTATTGTGAATAAATGAGCCCTGACTTGGAGAAAACCTTTTAACCAGCGAAAAAATAAACTATTTTAATGATGTTGTTTGGACGCAGCCCATACTGCTCTCTGCATATAGTGCTGTTAAGGAGTTTTAAGTATTTGATGCATCGTCTTTTTACCAGCATTAATGATTGTCTCCATTCATTCGAACTGTTTGTGAACACCATGTGCTTTACTTCTTTGCTGGCCACTTAATGGTTACTTTTCAAAGCATACATTTTTTGCTACTGTAATGAATGTTTTTTGCATTGCTAGTGATGACACTGTATTGTGCATTGATTAATGTCACCATAGACGGCTGTTGGTAGCCGTCACAGATACTAGACTTAGGTTGATGTAGTGGAACCATCTGGCAGTAGTCGCTTGTCCTGTTGCTTTCTTCTGTTGCTTTCTTCTGTATTTGTCATTTAACTTAAGCCGTCACTAATTATGTACCTTTTTCAAACAATGTAATGAATACCATTGAAGTGCATTTGCTACATAAAAATGTTAAATGAAAATGAAATAAAGTGCCCACATTTCACACCAACATCTAAGTGGATTGCATATATGCAGAGGTGGTAGAAGTCTAACCTTTACTTTAGTAAAAGTTGAAATACTATTGTCTACACTACAGGAGTATTACCAGCTAAATGTACCTTAAGTATCAAAAGTACTCAGTATGCAGAACGACTCTTTACTAGTATTATAGAATATGATATAACCCTATACTGGGGTCTCAAATACTCCTTTGATTAGTAATAAAGTACTGCGTCATATCATATAAGCATCGCATATGTTTTTTTCATGTGTAAAAAGTAACTAGTAGAAGTATAAAGTCGCATACAATGGAAATACTCAAGTAAAGTAACATTGTGGTGCTTAATTATGGTTCTTGAGTAAATGTACATAGTTACATTTGTACCACTGTGTGTATAATAAGAAACATTTTGTATGAACTACTTCAAGAGTAAATCATGTCAGTAATTGCATGCAACTCCCTCAGAGCAGAACATAAATACAGCTAACAGCGCCGGCTCCTTTGAGTTAAGATCAAAGAAAATGTTCAAAGCGCTGTAATGCTTTAACGAGGATATACGTTAATCCTAATAAACAGATTAGCAGAAATATCAGGAGGCTTTTTGAATCAAATCTCCTGCCGACTTCTATGTTTTTTCTTTAGCTGACACGAAGCAGGCCGTGCCTTTCTGCTGCTCTTGATATTATCTGAAAGCTTGACATAGATATGAAATGTTTGAGAATGATACCCTGAAGTAAAGAAAGAAGACCCAGAATTTAATTAAGACTATTGTTCGGTTTTACTAGAATGTGAGTGGTGTGCCATTACAGTCATGCGGAGATTAATATCTAATAAATTGTTCTGCTGCTTATTATTGCCTGGAAAGCAAAACATTCAACAGCATTTGACAGTGAAGTATGATTAAAATCGCACTGAGGTACAAGTAAATAATGTATTCAAATTGTGACAGATAGTGCATGTAGTGCCAGTCAGAACATCAGCTTCCTTCAGTCAGTTTCAACAAGGATTAGATTCAGTTAGTCAGACAATAACAGTTACTGTCAATCAAAGTATGATCACTGCTTTCACAGCCAGACTGTCAAACCAAACACACACTTAAAGAGGACGCCATGCTCCACAGCTCGCTCCAATAGAAGTGCTTTTAAGCGGCCATTAATAGATAGTTAGCCATTTCCACTTGAACACAGAGTCGTCAAGAAGAGCACTTTGTACACCAGGTCCAGCGAGGTAAACTGTACATTCAGTCTCAGTGATGTCATCACGTCTTTTTGAGATAACCGATAAGTGCCAGGAGGCAGACGGTCTCCTGTCGTTCATTGTCTGTTCTGTTCAGCTGGGTTAGCTGTCGTACCAATCCAGGAAGAGGAGAGAGAAGGAGCACATGACCAGGAAGAACAGGATCCATACCCGGAAGCCAGCGTTGTTTTTGATTGCCTTGTGACAAAAATAGACATAATTATATGTTAATGACCATTTACATCAACTCAATTAAAACAATATGCAGATATGAATAGCACAGCACAATAGATTACAAGATAGTTGACTTAATATTCCTATATAATCACTACATATTTGTGGACACTGTAATACTGTACTAAGATGTTTTCCTTCAATAAAATGAACAATATCTAAGGCCCCGTCCACACGGAGACGAAACGGAGACGAAAACGAACCAAAGTCGTTTTGGAAAAAGTCTTCTGTCCACACGAAAACGCTGGAGACGCTGTAGTACATTTGCCGGGCCATTTACAAGTGGCGCTGTACTTCTGCCACAAAATACACCAAAAGCAGCGAATAAGACCGATGACGACGATTATTATTATTATATTATATTATTATTGTTGCTGATGGTTGTGGTAGAGGAGCTGTAGATTTTGCACTAAAATCTGTATCATGGTCAGTAGCGTCTGGAGCACGAACGCAACGGTGAGCAGGAGAGGTGGGGAGAGGCGGGGCTATGGCGTCATCGTTTTCAGGAAATGATCATGGCGTACACACGGAGCCGCAAGCGTTTCGTCCCCAGACCTACCCACTGTGGGAGCCGTTATCAAAGTGTATCGGATTCGGGCTCCGAATCCGCGTTTCCGTTTCGGCCTCGTGTGGACGAACCGTCTATACGATAGAAAACGTTAGCGGATTCAACTGATATCGTCTCCGTGTGGACGGGGCCTAAGTGTTAAATAACAGTAACAATCCTGCATTCAAATGTCACTTCAGGAAAAGAAGAAGTGTAAAAGCTAAGTACCAAAAGTAAATATACTCAGAATGGCCTGCTTTAAATGTATATATACCACATCAGTGGAGTATAATTACTGAAGCATAAATGTGTTTAACACTTTAATACTGCAATACTAAATTTGACCTGCTTCCTATAAATGTACAACATCATTTATCAGTTGATTTTTATTTTGTATTATTAACGTTAATTTGCAAAGTAAATAGTATTTAAAGCTTTTAAAGAAATGGCAATAAATGACAATAAAACCCTTTGAGATGTGGAGGTATGAAGTAACATGAAATAGTAAGTACAGTTAATCCCAACATTTCATACACAATACAGAATATTATACATCTGATTCAGATATGTATAAACATATAGTTGAGTTTCCTTTAAAGAAACTTTACTTAATGTTTGTGTATGCTGTTATAGTTGTGTATAGATCCGTTTTATTACCTCTCGTATATCCTCATTCCCTTCCTTGACATTTTCTGTGGCGCCCACCACCAGCTGCTGGATGCTGTCTATCTCTGTTTCCTGTCAAGAACGAGAGAAGGACAATGAGTTTATGTGCATCATTTTTGTAGAAGTGTCCAAGTGAATAAACTGGGAGGAACTCGGCTTACTTGATGCAGGACTTTCTCAGCAAAGATCTCCTGCAGGCGAGAGATCTCCACCACCTTGCCCTCGATTTGCCTGACGTGCACAAAAGGAACACAGGAAATATCTCGTGAACAAAAATTGCAGAGCATATTTAAGCCTTTCCAGATGGCATTAATGTTCCAGGGGCAGGTAATTGTCACCTCAGGACCATTTTTGTTTTCCATCTGGAACAAACATGTCAGTGTTTCTCTCTGGCTGCCACAGTAACAATTTCATCTGCAAACACCTCTGTCTTTGGGTCACTTTAATCCCGTCTGAATCGACATCTGGTATTTCACATAATTGTCGTCTTGCTCACCTGCCATTTCAATCACTACAGGGGTGTCATTTAGTGGGAGGGGAAGAGACAGTTTCTCCGGATTACTACAGTTCCCTGGTAAATCATTTCACCGTTCACTTCCCTGATTCAAAACACTGATGTGTGGACAGAATGAAATTACTGACATCCTCTGGTAATAGCCATGTTCTTCAGGACAGACTTAATAACAAGGGAAAGTGTGCAGAGCGGGACTCACCTCACTTCATCCACCAGGCTGTTCATCTCACTCACCAACCTCTGGTTCTCCTGCTCAAACTACACACAAACACACCATTATGAAACACATGCTTTAAGTGTGTATGCAATGTAAATAAGGCTTTCATTGTAACATGACATATGGCTATTAGGAGTTAGACTATGCTCTATTGGACACCCTTTACCACAAACTTCCAATAGCTAAATTAGCTTAAATGGGTATTTAAAAAAGGAACAAATTAGATGGTAATTTGGGCATCATAAAAAGTAAATCTCCATAAAAATCTCCTCTATAAAGTCATTAAAATGTGCTTGAATTATTCCCTGTTAATTAAAATGGTTGTATGCTTGCATGAATCTTAAAAAATCCACATTTAAAGGGTAAAATGTATAATACATAATGATGTTTTAGGTGCCGCACCATCTGGATCTCCTCAGGAGAGAGCTCGTCCTCCACCCGGCCCTCCTCCCACAGGTTGAGGGTGTTGTTAGGGACTTCAGACACACTCTTCTCTACAGGAAAGAAACGAACATGTTATTTCAACATTACTCAGCGGTTAACTGTAATCATCCGAGTAGGTATTCAGTTTCTAATCCTCTAAATAAGGCCATAACCACTTAGTGTTATATTTTCTTTTTAAATAGATTCATTTAGATGGATTTGTTAAGATGGTGTTTTCTTGTCTCTTTAATTACACGGAAGAGCAGTCCCTGTTGAAATACTGAAGCAGAGTGAGATTGATGTTCTTTGGCAGGCTCTGTTTTCATGGTGCAGCTCCAACAACTGTAGGTCATTACAGTACACTGTGCTCACAGGGACCACGTGATGGAATATCATTTGCAGGAGTGTGGTGATTAATTATTATCATGACACATTATATGCCTCAAACTGTTTCAACCACTGTGCCAATCTCAGTGCTGCTTGATTAAAATGGCTCATGAATGGAGAGGGTGGGTGCAGAGGGACTTGTTCAAGTAGGAAAATATGATTATTGTCTGGGAGGTTCATTGGCATGGTGAGAATACAGCACAACTAATTGGCTGCAAAGAGAAATGATGAGCCTTGTTGCCATGCCACACAACACATGTTTAGTTTGAAGCACAGTGAACATACAAGCAATTATTAGCTGGAAATTAGTTCAGCAAAACCCAATTAAAAATAAACAACATTGGGGGCTTCTCTCAACTGAATATTAATTTGAGGTAATAATTTATATAAGCAGTGCTATGCTTAACATAATTATCATGTAACACAATAATGACAATGAAGACCATTTGTTTTTTGACCATCACACTTAACCAAAATCGATATGGTCATAATCAAGCTGAAACGCATCAACATGCCAATAAAAGATGAATGAACGCATTTCAACATGCATGCAGCCGTTGCCTTATGTAAGCCCATGTTTTCGGATTAAAATATAGTACATTCTGAGTGATGGAGAGGGGGCTGTGTGAACCTTTATCTCAAGATATCATATCTTAAAATGCTTCACTGTGAACTGTGAAGTGCCTCCCTGCATGTTAATGCTTCCCAACACCTGTTGGTTTGAATTGCATAAACCTGCAGAATAACAAGTTAATGGTTGTGATTTCATCAAGCACCCACAATGAATCATTAGCATTGATGCTGCTGCGCTGAAGCATGGTGCTTTTCAAATTAGAAGCTGCATATGAAACACAAAGATTTGTCCTGCTGCTTTCAGGTGTCTGTGGAAATGTAAATTATGGAGCACCTTTATACAGCGCAGTCGTAGAGAATACATAATCACCCATTTCTCTTATAATGCAGTCAGGACAGCTTACGATAATTACATTTTGGTTGTTTTTTCCTTTTATATTTAAAAGGTTACTGTGCATTTCTGTCACTAGTCCCATGTCATGCACAGAATGAAAGCAAAAAGGTTACTTTGAACAAATCAGTCAGTAAAGCATGAACCTATAGTAAAAGGGTAGCTTGTACCAGTCTTTGTGCCGACACAGAGATAGAGTCCAGTGTCTCAGCGTCTCACTAACTCACCAGAACTTTCCTCCTTGACGGTTTTCTCCTCCATGGGCTCTGGCGTTTTCCCCACCCTGCTGTTGTGCTCTGGAGCCAGTCTGGACCTGGAACCACAGGCACAGGGTCGAGTGAATCAGGAGGAAGTTTTACACACGTTATGAAGTGTATAATAAGTATTAATGTGTATGTACTCACAGCCTCTTTTTGTCCACCATTCTCTTGACTCTGATTGCTCTCTGCTCCGAGTACAGCTTGCACACTCCTTAAACACAATCAAGATACACATGATGTTACCATGCAGTTTGCTTTAATATTGGTTCAGTGATTTTAGGTATGTAGTATGTGACTCCACTTCGAGCAATAAAATGACTAACAAAGCACTTATATACTAATAAAGGACTGGCTTATCTAAAGCCAGTTGAGTAGCACTTGAAATGTTTTGTCTCTATGAAACCTGATGTACTTATTTGATTCCGTTTTCTTCAAGTTTGTATCTTGGTCGAATGCACTTATTGTAAGTCGCTTTGGATAAAAGCGTCAGCTAAATGCAATGTAATGTAATGTTAAAACTAATCCCAGGGCGAGTTAACTATCCTAAAGATAAACAAAGAGATGTCTCCCCAGCAGTCTACAGAAATGCTGTTTTAATTGCAATGAGTTGCAGGAACTCACCTCTCAGGTAGACTTCAATGAGGTCCAGCACGGCCCCTCTGTGCTCCTTTACCTGGGCTGAACTCACTTGCTTCACCGCTATCATGACAACAACACATTCAGTTAATAAAGATCATACATAGTACTGTACAGGGCCAACACATAAGGATCAATCAAACTTCCAGCTCCCTGTTTATGTTATGAAAGTCAATGTAGGTCAGAGCCAAGTTACAAAATAAAACCTGAGTTGTATCTTCATTGTTTGTTAAATAATGCAACACCAATAGTATTCGTTAACAAGCACACACCTTCGTTGCGTAGCTGCCTGATGGCCTCAGAGCAAGTCCTCATGAAGATCTGAGCATCCTGGTCGATCTGGTCTCGCTCATTGTCCGTCATACGGGTAAGATCTGAGGAGATGAGACTGTAAAACACACAGGAAGAATCAAAGTAAGTTTACATACTGTGTAGTAGGTATCGAAAGTGAAATGTGTGATTAGTAACCAAACAATGATTCTAGAGAGTTCTTAATTGTATGATGTACATCTTCAACTTTCTGCATTCCTTAAAATCCCACCATAAAAATTGACATATGAATGACCATAATGTGACTCTAACAAGTGACATGTAATGCAATGTGAGGACTTGAATATTAGCCTTATTGCTGTCAGGTTGTGTTGTGTAGTTCAGATGGTGTCTCCCTCTGGTGGACTTCTGAGATACAACAATACACTCCTCAACTAAGGAGTGCAACTAATTACACATAGGTAATGATTCTGTTTTGGTATTGCTTGATAGATAGATGGTAGATTGTATTTTTGATTGAACTTGATTAATTATTTTTTGCACAAAGCATTAGCAAATAAGTTGAAATTAATATGTAAAAGAATGTAAGCTGAATTGATTCATATTTTGGAGATAAATCCTTAGCTATTTAAAGGTGGGGTAGGTAATGTTGGAGAAACCAGCTCGAGTGCGCTGGAATTTGAAAATACACAGCCGGAACAAATCTGCCACTTCCTTACAGAGCCCCTCCTCCAACACACACAAACGTGCACATGACCAATGAGGGCACGAGATAAGTTTGTGCACAGATGGAAGGCTGACAGGCAGGTAGGCCATCCAGTTATTTTAGCTGGGCCGGCTAAAATGATTGGTCGTACTTTTTACAGTATTACGGCTTCCACAGATTACATTTTTTTATGGATTTTTGTCAAAGCACTTAAGATATTTATTGCTATCGGGATGTTAAGAGCATTCCATGGAATATAACAAAAAGTGTATCTAGAGCCGGTATCTCAAACTTACCTACCCCACCTTTAAGCTAAGTCAATCTGTAAATATAAATAATAAAAATATGTTTTAAATTACAAATGTTCAACATTTTCATGTTTAGGTATTTCTATGATGTATGGAATCTCCTATTTCCCAATGTATGTAGCTCAACGTGACAGATGACTTGAGTTGATTGGAGCGTTATTTAGATCACCTTTTGCGCAGGGTGTTGGTGGCACATTATCATTTTGAAGGCAATTGTGAGATTTGTTTAACATTTAACTACGTTTGATTTTAATGTGGCTGGAAATCGATTCACAGGCTTCTTCCAAATCGGTTTAAATTTGGGTACAGAACATTAGGCTATGGGACTTTGCAATGGACACATTTGTTTGCTATTGTCTTACAGATGAAATGAGAAAATACACAGACAAAACGATGCAGAGAAACTAGTCCATGCATTTGTTACTTCAAGGCTGGATTATTGTAACTCTTTATTATCAGGGTGTACCAAGAAGTCAGTTAAGTCGCTTCAGCTGATTCAAAATGCTGCAGCTCATGTACTAACCAGAGATCGGAAAAGGGACCACATTACTCCTGTTCTGGCTGCCTTACACTGGCTCCCTATAGAACACAGGATAGAATTTAAAATTCTTCTTCTCGCCTACAAAGCCCTTAATGGGCAGGCGCCATCTTACCTTAAAGAACTCATTATACCCTACTGTCCTACGAGGGCATTGCGTTCCAAGAATGCAGGGTTGTTGGTTGTTCCTAGAGTCTCTAAAAGTACAATGGGAACCAGAGCCTTTTCTTATCAAGCTCCACTTTTGTGGAATCAGCTTCCAGTTTGTGTTCGGGCGGCAGACACCCTATCCGTTTTTAAGAGTGCGCTTAAGACCTTCCTTTTTGATAAAGCTTTTAGTTAGGGCTGATTAGATTCAGCCCCTAGTTTTGCTGCTATAGGCTTAGACTGTCGGGGGACACCTTACTTCTTCCTTCTCTCTGTCTGTACCTGTGTACTCTCATGTTCCGAATAACCCAGCTTCCCCAAATGTCTTTTTGGTGTCTATCTACGCTGGGATCCTGAGTCGTGGCTGATCCTGAGTCCTGAGTCCTGATCTGAGTCCTGGATTTCGAGTCGTGGCTGAACCGGTCACTGTGGTCCTGCCTGACTTTTATCATACTACTTCCCTGATGGCTCCCACAGGATTGTTGACATCCTCGTGGATTCATCTTCTTATTATAGACACATGCATTTCCAAACATTTGGTCTACCTATACTGTGAAATGTATTATCTTTTCGATTTACACACGGCATCTATTGCACGTCTGTCCGTCCTGGGAGAGGGATCCCTCCTCTGTTGCTCTCCCTCAGGTTTCTCCCATTTTCCCCTTTAAACTGTGGATTTTCTCTGGAAGTTTTTCCTTGTACGATGTGAGGGTCTAAGGACAGAGGGTGTCGTATTGTCATACTGATATTCTGTACAAACTGTGAAGTCCACTGAGACAAATGTAACATTTGTGATATTGGGCTATATAAATAAACATTGATTGATCATTTATATTGAAAATAACTACGAGTTGCTGCCTCTAAATAAAACAAACATGACCCTGACAAAGGCAGATTGATAAAAGTTAAACAAGTCATCCTTTACCATAACTGTGGTGAACTAGGGGAGATGCTTTGGTTTGGTTAACATGCAGTCACTAAATGCTATAGCATGGCACCGTCAATAAGACTTTTATTTAACTTTAGCCATCATTTGTCTGAAATGATGACCATCTACACTAATGCTATAAAAATGTGAATGAATTCAGTTGCATCCACAGTCTATAATCATTCTGTCAGGCTTAGTCAAAGTGTGGAGGAAGAAGGAAGTTGATAAGAAAATTGGAAGACAGGCACGGCTGATGGTAGACGAGACTACCACACACCACTGATGGCTTCTTGATGGATTTTCCCACCACTAAATACTGCTGCGCTCCACCCATTGACATCTCCAATGTTTAGTTAATGTGTTCTGTTGGGGCTTTATCAACAAACCCAACGAAACAGAGGCTACTCCACACACCCACACCTACAGAACACAGAGGGGGCCTTGAAGGGAGGAAGGCCCGGATTAGTCCCAGGGCGTGATTTGTTCTCCACTTGGTTGCAGCTCAATTATTCCAGACAATTAGACTGGAGCCTGCCTTAGGACCACCCTCCTCGCTGCTGACCTTGTGCCAGCAGACAGACCCTGCAGCACACACATACACACTGGAGACATATTTGATGGTACCTTTAAGTAGCCCTGACCCCTGACCTCTGAGTTTTGTGTCTCTTCAGCAGCCCCCCCCTGCAGCCTTGGAGGGTTTTCCCCGCTGCTGTTGTTGATTGTGGAGGATTACTGCGACTGTTTGGAGAGGCTTACCTTCCGGCGCTCACATAATCTTTCCTGTGTTGTAGCAGAAAGTCTTTGAGCTTGGTGATGTTCGTGATCTGCCAAGATAAAGTGAGAAGAAGAAGCATTACTTGATTATCCTCATGTCAACGAGTTCTTTAAATGTTGCGCCTCATTTGCTGCTTCTAATGTAAGCGCGTCAACGCGGCTTAAGAACGTTTTTCAACGTGTACCAGGAAACTATTTCCAATGTTCAGACAGAGCCAGAGCAAACGTGTAATGTTGTATTCATTGGATGTGACAGGCGACCAATGTCTGTCTATCTCTGTGAATTCTCAATATTTGCTTTCGACAATTCATTAAGCCATGGACATACAACAAAAATCAGACCTGCAATTTAGCCGTCAAACTGCTCTCATGAATAAAACCGTGAGTGGCGGCATACAGAGCACTGACAGAGCCATCTCTAATAAGCTTTAAATTCACGATCTGTTACTATTTATCACCGAGGAAAACGTCCAAGTGTATGTGTGCACAGGCAAACCAGAGGAAACTTGGTTCAATCCAATATTTGCTCCTGTAATTCGGTCAAATATTAAAAAAGACCAAATTGCTTCCCCGTCCACAGAGCTGTGCTGGCAGGCTACAAGTGGCTGTGGATACGCACACAGTGGGCTCTGTTGGATCCACAAGAAGACAGGACTCCAGACAAGCTAAGGATTGAAAAATGACACAATGAGTTTGACTGTGACAGCGACCTCAGAGCGTGGGAGATTATTTTGATAACATAACGACGCTGTCTTCAGCCTTCAGCTTTTTTTTCACTCTAACAACCTCAATTATCAAATTGCCTTGGCTGTAAGGGGGTAACCTGGCACCAGCCGTCTAATAATGTCTCCAAACATTCATTTTTATCGTCACGGTAACCTGAAGCAGTGTTTTATGCGAGCTGACGTTTGAAAAATGACATGTTTTTTTTTTTCTGACGCAAAAAGAAGGTGTCAAGACAAACAGAGCCGAGCAATTTGTTAGAAACCTAGCACTCCTTCTTCTGGTGGAGCAGCTAATTCAGTGACGTATGAAACTGCTGTGGGGCACTCACTCAGGCAAGGGCTGTTAAGGCAAGCCGACCCTTGTAATAATACAATTATTTGAGGTCAAGAGTTAATTGTTGTTCAGAGCAGTTGAGCTTAGAGGGGGGTTCAGTGGAGAAGAGAACTGTTATTATGGTTCAAAGTCTTTCAAACAGCGTCTGTTATGTAGTGTCTCAGTGAATAAGGACATATTGAACCAAAATCCTGCGAGATGGATAGGATTTTCCAAAACTTCAGACGCACAGTCACATGTTCTGTTTAGTCGTGTTAAAAGAAGAATCTATCCTTTCTTACCAATGTTATCAATAATGTATTTTCAGCAAATAGATGATGCATTCAGCCGTTCCACTATGTATCTCATCGAGGAGACAAATATAACATTTGCTTCATTTTTGCTGTTCTGTGATTTTGATTGGTTTTATTTATTATCAAAACGAACATTACGTTTTTATGAGTACTAAAGCTAAAACAAGTAGTTAATGGATTAACCTAATGTTCCAAAAAATACATCTACAATAAATCTAATAATGAACTAATGTGAGAATATTGAGTAGAATATTGAATAATTAAAAAAAAAGAAAAATGGCAAGAAAATAAACTCACTGACCTTTGAGGTTTTGGAAAGTGAAAATGTTGATTTCCTAGTCTTCATTGATCATGAATTTAAAATGTTTTATATTTCATGACATACTGGGAACTTGACATAACTTTTAACTAACTATCAACAAATGATTGATGAAACGATCTGTAGATGCCCTAGGGTTATCTTCCTGTCAATATATTAATTAAATCTTTAAAAGGACGCACAGCTTGTCAACACTTTCAGGTGCGTACAATGTAACAGATTGTCATGATATGATTATATTAATCCATCGACTCCCCAATCTCAAGTATATCCAGACTGGTGGTAAAATCGTTAAAGCCACAAAAAACGCTGTGGAGGCACATTTTTAAGTTCCAGTAATTCTGTTTTTGTGCCTGCCACAAAGTGGAAAATATAACCTCTTACATAGCGTTATTTTATCTTTGACTATAAACTATATTTTCTGTTAGCAATTAGCACTTGGCTTCACCTTTTATTTATGTACAAACTATATTTTCCAGCAGAATTAAGTCCATGGTACTGCACCTTTTTGCCCAGCAGGCAGTGCTAAATCCACACCATTGGAACAACAGACACAATGTATGTGTGTGTGTGTGTGTGTGTGTGTGTGTGTGTGTGTGTGTGTGTGTGTGTGTTGTGGGGGTGCCGGGGAGTGTCAAGAGTGCTGCTCTGGGGGTTGAGCTGTCTCCTGTGTGTATACATTGGAGCTCAGATTCCCAGCACAACCTCGAGGGTTTGCAGGGGGTCAGAGGGATCAATTGCTCTTGTAACTTAAGACCCTAAAGAGCAAGTAATTCCTCAACAATGAGGAAGGGGGTGGCCTTGTGCATGTGGCTCCTCGTATATGTGTGTATGTTGCTATATGCGAGTGTGTGTGTGTGTGTGTATACGTGCAGCCGCCATAGGTGTGTGTGTGTGTGAGGCCGGGCTCAGCGACGGCAGAAGGAGACAGTCTGCCGGGCTACATCTAATCTCGTCATCATCAAAGACCCCCACTTTACCTCCTCACTTTCTCCTTCCCCCTGTTTCCCTCCAGCCACGATTGAGCCCAAACAAACCATCAGGGGGGATTATTATGAGGAAGAAAAGAGAAAAAGGCTTAGCTGGCAGATTTCTAAAGAGCTTGGATGGCTCTTTGTTTTGTTAAATCCAGGTAACTGACAGAAGTTCATGATGAGGTTTAAGTCTCTGCGTGTCCTGACCGAGGGCGATCCGTACTGACGCCATGCGATGTTGTGTTTCAGTATGTGGGCCCGATACACAGAGGATGCTTCAGTGGAGAAGACTCTGCCGCATGCTGGTTTTATTATCATGTTTATGTCTGACTCTCTAATGGGTTTAGTTTTGTCTTCTTATGTCTATTCGCAGTTAAACCGCTTTAGTCAACTTTGTAAACAAACAAAAAAACCTACCAAAGAAAACTTTTAAGATTATTTATGAAAAGAGTCTTCGGCTTTTTCTTTTTTATATGTGCTAAAGTTGCATTAGTGTGTTTAGATTTCCACTGGATAAGTCAAAGCCGTAGTTAGCAGCGCTTGTATACAGTCTTGATGTTTGTTCATTTTTGATCGTGCAGCTCAGATCACGCATGGATACAGAACATCAACGTAGAACAAACAAACACTGAGGGTCATCAGTGGAGACAATGCATGTTATATTGTTCACTAAGAGAGTATAAAACTGAGACAAACACAAGACTGTCAAATCTCTATTGACCAATATTTATAATGAACAACACGGTAACTGAAATTGACTGTGTAGTCAGCGCTGAGAAAGGTATTCTTTGGACACATTCATTTTGAAGCAACTCAATTCTGGTTTCAACAAAGGAAACAAATGGATTGGCTGAGACTGTCACGTAAAAAACTGGAAACCACTGAAGACAAAATAAATAAATAAATAGACAATGTTGAAGGGCATTTTTGAAATTAAGTGACACAATCAGAAATTCAAAGCCATTAAAAAAAAATGCAACACTTTTATGCAATACTGTGTTAATAATGTTTGTGATTCCTTCTAAGTATTCCTGAACTTGTTTTACAGTCGAGTTTTCTTTAAACAAAATCAACCAGTTCCCTTCATCCCAAATACTCAGTGTTTTAAGTTAGACACTCTTCTTCACCTACTGGCTCAGTAACAGTAACTGGTTTTACTCACATCAAGCCTAACTTTTCTTTTAAAGTGTAAAATCTGGGGTTGCACACACGCTGGATTTACGATGGGAAGGTGCCTCTTTTAAAGCTTGTCTTGTGTTTCATCACCCACCTTGCTTTTTATTTCTGTCAAGTAATTTGAACTGTGCGTGCAAGTCATGGGTTGTTTCAGGTCAGCAGTTTCAGATTGTTCATAATCTCCTTTGAACATAGCTACGATTAAAAAATGATTACACGCTTCAATAAGGCTAATTACTTAATACGGCTATTGTAGTCAGGATGGCCATCTTTAAAACTTCAAACCTGGTTGTCAGATCTGTAACCTGTGCCATTTTCGCTTAACCCTTATTTTTATATATTATTATTTAAAAAATAAAAATAATGACGGATGTTCAAAAATTGCTTTTAATAAAAAGAATTGCATCTCTGAAATCCCAATATTTGCCAAGATAAACCAGGATATTGCTATAGAAAGAGTAGAGGATTATAAGCAAACAACAGAAAGTAAGACATTTATTTTGTATTTCTTCAATGTCAAATTGTTCAATTGTTTCTCTGGACTCTAAATGTCAAGTTTGGTCGCAAAAAAAGAACGCCATAAATTACGCATTAAAGTAAATCTCCTATCACCATCTTCTACAGTAATTCAATTGAATAAAGCTATCACTTCAAGAATGGAGAAAGCCACTATAAGCGTGTGTACGCCAAGAAACAACAGATATTCAGCTGTGTGGAAGACAAATTGTAACAACACTGCAACACTCAGGCCTCATTAAAAACAACAGGATTTATAGTGTCTGCACCTTTGAGGCAGCAGTAACCCAGCCTGACTTTAAAAACTATCTGTTGACCTTTGTCTCTTTCATCTACCGGTACTCATGATGAATTGCGACCACAAATGGAAAGTAAACAACATGTTTGTTGTTATACAGTTAATATGAATGTGAAATGAGTACACAAAATGAATACCGCATGTCTTTTAGCAACACAACATCTTAAATCATGAACCAAAAACACCAGAGTCTCTAAGTAGAGAACACATCTGTTGTAGTTTCATGGTTCAGACTCTGTGTTTTGAAGTGTCAGGGTCAGGTATGCAGCCTCCTGTCATCTGCATTTGGAAGTATTTCAGTCAGTGTAAATCACACTAACTAAGATTTGTCTAATGACAAAGCCGGACGGCATTCTTCAAAAAGCGTCAACAGCTGCTGCTTTAGTGTTTCTTCATGTTTAAATTGAGTCTTGAATATTGAGCTCAACATTACTTCTGTTCCGCTTAAACTATTTAGCCTGCCGAGTATCTGGTGTCCGTCTCGTGATTAAGAGTTGGACATGCATCTGTAAATGTGTGTATCACCACTTTTTCCTATTTTATTTTCATTTTTAGGAATCATGCAAAAGCATTTTGTTGCACGCAGTGAAACTAAACCAAGATTTAGCTCAGGCCTGACAGCAGATGCCGCAACATTCAATTTGCCATGGCTTTCATGAGAAAACAGTGCAGAGATTAGGCCAACTGGTAAAGAGACCATTTAGCAGCATGTTCATCTCGGGGTGATCCCAGAAAATCACTTCCCCATGGCTGGGGTCCTGACCGGGGAAAGACCCGCTTTGACAGCTGCACGTTTTACCTGTGCCAATATGTTGGTGACTTGTGTTGAAATGAAAGGGGAACGTTTTGTGGGAATGGAAAGACTATTCTGGTTTTCCCCTTGGTGGTGATTTTATAAATATATATTTACACTCTTTTTCTCTTCAATATATAGATCAAAGTCAGGATTTAGCATTTTATTCGCTAAAATAATTGTCGTTTAACCTTCTTAACCACGTTTGTGACTAGTCAAGTATGATATATTGGCTACAGGACTTAGGCTGTGTGCTTTTGCAATAAATGTATTAAATGTGTAACCTTTTTATTGAAAAAAATAAGCCTGGTAAAACTGTTCAAGACAAAAAAGCAGAGTTTCAAATGTGCACTTTATTCCCTAAATGATTGACATTAATGTCAACTCATAAATGTTATATGCTGTATACTACTATACACTATGCCTTTAACATGAGCTGTTAAATGCAAAAGATCTGCCGATATGCTCCGGTTTCATATGCATGACAACATCAATCAAATACAAAAAGATCCGACAAACCATTTTCAATTCGGTCTCCTACTTTGATTGTGCCTTAACTGATTTAACATATCCCAGTGTATTTCATTGAGGAAACATTTGACTTTCATGTTCATAATTAGACATTCTTTGGGATGATATATTCCAGAGCATCCCACAAACTTGAGTTGAATTCCAAAATGTGAACAAACATTTGGGACTTTGAATCTTCACCACCCTTAAAAGTAAAGTAAATTAGATTCTAAACTAAATGTTTTTAGTATATAGAAGCATAGTATTTCAATATGAAAGCTATCATAGGGAAGAGCCCCCCCCCCCCCCCCCCAACATATCTTTAAGTGCTGGCTCTTGGCCACACTTTTCAGGGTTTCTAAGAAAACACAGTGAGAAGGGGCCAATTTCAGAATACCAATACTAAAGGCACAGTGGGGAGACAAGCACTATTTTCTACACACAATTTACCAATTTTGAAGTGACCCCCTCCATTTAAACTTGAGAAGGGCAGCATGCTGCTGAGAGAGACGAGGTGAGCGGTGAAATGGAGATCACAGTGCCCCAAACCGACCCCTATGAGGTAGAAGATTCCCCCGACCAAACCCCACCCTGAACAAACTGGCCCTCTTATTAGTCAATCAAGCCTTTTTTCTATGGCCTTGAGATGATCTACATTTCCTTTCCCATTGAAGCGCTTTTTGAGTGGGAAAAAGCCTCATAGGACCACTGTGTATTTGTCAACTTTGATGTTTTCTTTCTATTTTTGTGAAGCTTCAGTGGGAACTTGGGAGAGTTATGCATGTCTTGAAGGGCACCCACATCTGTTCTGCATTAGGTGCCGGCCGTCAACATTGTTACTGGGGACCTAATTTAATATTTTCTCTGTTTTGATCTTCCACCTTTAATCACTGGCTCTTGGGAGGATCGGCTTTCCCCAAGAAATTGTCCAAGAGCCGAAAGAAAATGTTATTGCAGTATGTTTATGGAATCGTACATGTGAAGAGGGGACTTGCCCAAAAAATGCTGCCTAAAGTCAGGCTGCGCCGAGAAGAACGGATAGTTGAGTTGCGGGTGAAAACCGCGACATAACTGTACACAGTCAGGACATTCCAAACTCCCAATTTCAATTTCTACAAAAGCTGCTTCACCGAGATGGTTTGAGATAATATCTGCAGCGTGAAGGAGACAGCGGAGGGGGGGGGGGGGGGAGGCGAGCAGAGGGCAGGCACCACAGGATAGGTTTGGGTTTCTTTGAATCAGCACCACTGCTTTTAATAAACCACCATTTCTAATATAAATGTAACAGAACATAACAAAACCCTGGTTGTGCAGAGCTGCTGCGACCGGGCTCATGTTTGCCTCAGACTGATGGTTGGAGACATCAGGTACAACTTAAAGTCCTGACTCCCCGAGGGAAACGTAAAGTGGTTCTTCAAGGTGCCTTTGAAGAGGTTTGTGTTCATGATATTCATGGCAGGCCAAGGACGTTTGGCTGCAGAAGCAGAACTCACGACATGAAGCGAAGCCTTTTATTCACAAATGATCCATCTCCTGCTTCCAACCATTGATGCTGTCTCAGAACCTCAATTAGAGAATCACATGTGACATACTTTTGAAGTCTTAATAAAGGGAGCTTAATGCTCTTGACCTTTTTTGTAACGTTTGGGCCACTGCAGCCTAAATTCTAGATCGCATTGTGTAATTTTTCTGGGTCAGTTAAAGACTCAGATTCGGGCCAGTCAGTGGGGGAGCAGTGGCGCTCGGACCTGACAGTTGGCACCAAACATTCTGGGCTCAAAACTGCTGAGTCCGCGGACATTTGGCCCAAAAGGGATTTTCGTCCTCCAACAACTTATCTTTTGTCTTGCCAGATCTCAAGCACAGCAGTCATTTATTATGAACTGCCCACACTTGGCAGGATTTGAACATTCCTGAATCCTGACCGAGGTTGTAGTAAAAATAGTGTTAGTGTTTTATTTATCTTCTAAGTTGTTGTAACGTCCATTGCAGTCATCTTGTGATGGGATCATTCTAGCGCAAATGTCAAATTTGGCCAGGGGTGTAAAGTGTGTGTGTGTGTGTGTGTGTGTGTGTGTGTGTGTGTCCCTTGATCAAACCACACCACTTTTCATCTATTAAGTTGACTGTATCTTGCTTATTTGCAGTGCTATCACAGAGAGATACATCTGTCCAAAGACATGTGGACCCAAATATAGAAACCTGGCAAAGCATTCAAAACATCTTCTGTGATAGTTCCTGCTACAGTAAGTGTCTCAGTGAGGAAGTATTGCCATAATGAAACACACACAGATTCGCAAGCTAAAAACAACTGCCTTCACTGCAGGCAATAATAATCGCTGGGCATAATTTGCTCAAATTTTGCAGGAAGATCGTCAAACAGGCATGTCACAAAGAAGACTAGCAGACAGTAAAGACATGATATAACTAAGTGACTGAGTCATTTAGTTTGAAGTATGTAGCAACATCATAGACTGGATATATACAGTATATACATATACATCAATATCTCAATGCTTTGTGAGATGCTGCAGAGATGGGCTACAGAAAGGAAAGAAGGCCATTGGGTAAGTAATGGCTATGTGGAAAGCTACTTTGTTTTAAAAACATAAGATGACATTGCATCCTTTTAAATTGAATTTTGTTGTACAGAAAACCAGAGCATCGCTAATACCGATTAAGGAAAAGTAATACCATTTTTAAGTAGAGTTAAAACTTTCACAGGGAGAAAATAAAGTTATGACTCACTAAGTAATGGTACGATTTCGGAATTAAATGAGTGATAATTATTAAAGTATACATAGTGAAGACGATAACGTAATTTGTTTTCTTGTAAAAATTGGTGAAATTATTCTAAAAAAGAGGAAACATTTGATATAAATTATATTCTGCTTGCACAAAGACACAGATTTGAACCTGGTTTATTGCATTTCGACAGCACTCGTTAATACACTAAACTAACTTATAGCAAATATATTCTCACAGAATTTAGTAACTGTTGCACAAAGAGCTTTTTCATATATGAAAGTGTAATACTATTATGTAAAGTAATCGTAAAGGAGGCTGCTATTTTCAGAACAGAACAAAAATCAGAAGAGTGCATATAATACAGCTGCAGATGTAACAACACATCAACTCTTTCCAACTAAACCTACAGCAGCTAAGAACATTAATTTAATCAGTGTTGAACAATAAAACGATATCTGCTTCAGGATTATATACATGTATCAGCTGCAAGATATGTTATGGCAATGCAGGGTTGTATATATATATATGAATGAACCTGGTGAATGTGTCATAATTATGAGATATTTAATGCATGTTCTGTGTCGTCATATAAAATAATGTGATAGAGGTTTTTTCATCCAATTTGCACACTCATTCACATTGCATAATAAAGTTGTATAATGATATGCACTGCTCAGAGAGGGCCTGCTAACAGTGAACTGCTGGTACACACTGTACTGAACATCAGCATTCAGTTATCGAGCATGCTGGATAACAGATTAACTTCCTGTACACATGTCATAAACGTACTGTTGCTTTTATAATTCAAAATGAGCAACACTGTCGCTAAACCACTTCAGTTTGTAGCTGTCATTACAAGTAAAGTCAGTCTGTGCCGATGCTAGCCCGGTTAGCTAAAGTTAGCTTGAGGAAACACTCACCACTTCTTTCGCCTTCGGAGAGAAGCCTATCTTGGGTCTGCTCCTCTTGAAAATGTCATCTTTAGGAGATTCTAGGCCAATTCCTATCGCCTTGTTCCTGGTTTTTACAGTCTTAACACTGGCTTTGAAAAGTAAAGTTATATCCACAGCCATGTCTGTGAAGCTGCAGCGCTGTAAACAAATCGACACGTCACCAAGAGACGACGTCACTCTCCTGCGACGCTGTGGATTTTCCCTGAGACGGAGAAGAAAGCCTTACATTTTACCTTAGGGTTTTTATCAGTAATTAATTAATGTAGCGTGTACTGTACCTCGCAATATTTACATTTCGAGAAAGGCTGACCTGCTCTCATGTTGCTCGTCGCTCGCCATTGAGTTACAGGTGAACAAAACCTTAAAACTTCGAAAATCTCTTATTTTATACCTTAAATCTAAAAACACTTAAGTGGTAGGCTTAACCTGTCAGATAGATCATAAAGTGTAATGGCATATTTACATGTTTTGCACCAACGTTACTATATTAAGGATGTATTATGGACCAGCATAGGCTACTGGTAATCAATAATCTATCTTTGTTTCTTCCAGAAAAAAATGCCACTACAACTTATTGAAGGGATGTCCAGCAGGAAGAGAAGACCCAACTGGACAGACCAGGAGTGTCTTCTTCTTGCTATGCTAATGCAAGAGAAGAAGGACGTAATCAGAGGGAAGTGCAGCACTGGAATTACAATACAGGATAAAAGGAAAGGCTGGGAGGAAATAACCCAAGCCATAAATGAAGCCTTTCCACTGTTTCAGCGTACAGTATCTGACTGTAACAAAAAGTGGGAAAATCTAATGTCAAAGTCAAGGGAGGAGATCAAACGGCACAGAAGGCAATCAAGCACAGGTGAGGAAAATATGCAGTTTGATAGCAATAAAATGTGTTACAAATGTAAACCTTGAGTGTGGATATGTGGGGATGGCTGGAGGAAAAACTTCTAGAAGAGGAAATGGGCTGATTTACATCCTCACAGTTTTAATTGAATATATGTGATTATGTACATTACCTCATGCATAACATGATTATTCACTTACAGAAGGCCTGTCCATGGAGCAGTTAAGTGCTGTGACTCAGGTCGTGGTTTCTGTGATGAACCTCTCAGACAGGCTGCAACAGGATGGAGAAGACTCTTTAATCTCAGGACTGGTGGAAACTCAACATAACAGGTAAAACAAACTTAATTCATTTAAAATCTGTTATTTGGGTCTGTTAACCCCAATCAAAGCATAGACTCTTATTTAATTCATTTGGTTAATAGACAAACCTCACTTTGAACATTTTTAAGTGCAACTTTGTACAAATATATAATCCCCTGTGAAAATTCTTATTATATTATTAACAGGAATATTGTTTCTTTCAATAGATGCTTAAATTAATTTATCAAATCAAATTTGTCACACCACAAACAAAGTCCAATGTGTAATCTCACAACCTGGACAAATTAAACTCAATAACAAGAGGCAATTTAGAAAAAGTATTTGATTAACCAATCCTGAACCTTGAGGATGAATGGACAATTCTTAGAAATGATATTAATCATTGACCGTCTTTTTTCAGTTGCGATGAAGATGGAAATCAGCACTCAGTTGATGAAAGATTCTCCACCAATCATCCCCTGAGAGAGCTTGAGCTCCCGACACATACAGGACCATCAAGTTCTCCAGCAGAACAGAAAATGACTGTTTTTGCTAATTTCCCAAAATCAATCGCAATGCATTTTAGTTCTCCTCGTGCTGCTGACTTTGCAGCTTCTGCAGAACACCAGGAAACCTCCTGCTCTTCTTCATCTCCAGGCAACTGCACAACGCTGCAAGAGCGTTTGGATTTGGAAATGTCAGTACTAAGAAGACAAGAGGCAGTTCTAAAGCTGCAAGAAGAATATTACACACTTAAAATCAAGATGATGAAAAAGCCGATAGTCAAAGGACTGAAGTAACTGTAAAGAACGATCTGTTGCTTCGGTCTGTTTCTTGTGAAATGTATTTGTGAACAACCCTTTGTTTTGTTGTGAATTTGTATTATTGTTTTAATTGATTATATGTTGACATAGAAATAGCAATAGAACAGTGAATAAAAGTAGAAAACACAACACTGTGTATGGACTTCTCTTTAAGGTATAACAAATTAATGCAAATAAATAAACATGTCCAGACATACATCTAGACGTAAATATACCTTCACACAGCTCAGCCACTATATGCTCACACATCCTACATATTACACAAACATACAGTCCAAGGTCTTTAGGTTTCCCTGTCTGAATGAGGAACACAGATTTCCGCCTCCAGTTGTTATGAAAAGTAACACTTTTCTACTAGCTGACCTGCATCATGCCAGGTTTTTGAATTATTCATACAAACGTTTTGGTTCATTAGTTTATTTTATTCGTGTCGAACCACTTTTATAGGCTTCTTCTTCATCAGCTTAAATCTGGGGAATCCCCAAGAGGACACACATATTTTCTTCATCTAGCTAGGGAAAAGAACTCTACAAATGAACTCTCTCTGGCTGCTCAATATATTAAATAGAAAACCAAGTCAAATCCCCAACAACATGAACAACCGGCAGTGGCTCAGTCAGTAGGGGCTTGGACTGGGAGCCGTAGGGTCGCTGGTTCAAGTCCCCGACCAGACCTAAATATGGAGTGTGGACTTCTACTTGGAGAGGTCCCAGTTCACCTCCTGCCCTGCCGTGGTGCCCTTGAGCAAGGCACCAGACACCCCCCTTCCCCCCCACTCCCATTGCTCCCCGGGCGCTGTACAATAGCTGCCCACTGCTCCTAGTACTAGACTCCTTGTACTAGGATGGGTTAAAAGCAGAGGCCAAATTTCACTGTGTGTGCTGTGTGCTCTGCATGTGTGACCATTAAAGAGGGTTTCATCCCTCCCTATTTAAAAAAAAAAAACCGGAAGGAAAGGAATACAAATAAATATACACATGTACTGACAGTAAAATGAGTGGATACTACAGTATAGGATTTCAACATTATTGTGTCTGAAAAGGTTAAATAGATAATAGCAGTGGTGCTAAGCAACATTTCATTTACAGTATTTCCACCTCCAACCAGGCAAGATGTTACCAATGTAGCTTTGAATATAGTCTGTAATCATTATTACTCATTATAACAAATACAGAAATGTTTTATGAGAGTCCTGTAAAGCCATTTACTCAGTGTACTGCTGGCCTTAATCGAAGAGGGTGAAAGCAACCAAAATGTGAAATAAAAGGCTTTGGATGGACCGTGTGATATGTTGGGTTGTTTGTAATGCCTTTTTCAGAGACTGTCACTCTTGAAGGCAGTATGGTCTCCACCTTTAACTGAATCTTATTCTTAGTCAGCATATTTGTGTGTCGTTTTAATGCCATTCCCATAACGAGCCAGTCAGTGTAGTTTATATTCTCACACACTTTGTCTGGTTATAATAATGTACATCAATCACACATTGGTAAAGTAAGGTCTCATCTACACTCTTGTATGAAATATTGCGCTAGTGGACTGTATACTTCTGAGTACAAAATAAAAAATTACACTTTTACAAAAGCTCACATAACCTAAATATTTTCCCAGCTGAAAACCATGTGTCATAAAACTGTGAATTACAACTACAGCGTTTTTTAATTCTTGAAAAATCAAAGTAATTCTTCACAGGAAGTATAATTTAGTTTATTTTATCTTGCAGGGAAGTCCAACTCATATGTATGGTTAAACACTGTGAGGAAAGTAGTTTATTTACTGAATCATGCCATTTACTCTTAAGTGTGAATTTGGAAGCTGTAAATGTTTGACATGTACCAATATACATATTTATGAAAATTGAACTTGGTCATGCCAATGAAAGTAAAGCAACGATAATGTTCTGTCTAGACAAATGTAGTAATTTGTGCGTAATATTTTTCATAACTCAGTTTACTTGTTAATGACGGGGCTTGGCACCCAGATGTAAGCAGTGGGGCCCTGAGTGTTGAATAAAAGTCTGTTATTTGCTGTGTGGTTTGCTCATTTCCTTTGTTAGTGTTGTGCCAGACTGTGTTAGAACCCAGTGCTGTGACTGTCTCTCCCTTTCTGCCGCCTCAGCAGGAACTGCTCGTCATTTTCTTTCATCCACTTTTTAAGTTTTGACTGCGGAAAGAGAGCAGCTTTTCAAGAACCAAGGTTATGGGCACGGAAAGGCACAGCTGCGTTTATGATACCTAATGTGTTGATATGAGGAGTCAAACGGAGCATTAAAGTTTCCTTACTTTTATCTAACCGCAGGATAAAACACACTAATTGAGCTTACTGCAAGCATAAGCTGTTCTGGGATTGACTGGAAAAAAAGGATAGCAAGCTGCTCCTTAACAACTGATTGGATCAAAATATGTTTGAAGAATCACAGTGTTTGCACTCATTTGCTGAAAAAACATATTTTCTCCGATCATGCTTTTTCCAAACCTTTTCTGTTTGATGTAGTCTGACTCGATCCGATGAGCTTACACACTTCTTCACCTGCACCCTGTAAATATGTTCATATGAGTGGAATATAGACCTTATTCTATTGAACACAAATACATAAAACTGGATGGAAATAACATATTTTTTATAGAGCAAACAAAGAACTGCTTATCAATTTATTTTAAGTCTGTAAGAAGTAGCATAAAATCAAGTCCAAGTACCTCACAATTGTACTTAAAAGTAAATGTACTTTGTCATTTTCCATGCTAGTAATGGTAAATTACTACATTGATCATATTTGGCTCTCCAGTTTCCACGTCCACTACTTGGATGTTCTTTTAAAATCCAATTACTATTTCATTTTTTGTTTTTGTGTTAATTAAACTTTCCACATACCCTTGGACAACTTCAGAGGTGTAGGTTACCATGATTGAGAATCACTGCTCTAAAAGTCTGTTTCTATTCATGTACCACGAATATTGTCTGACCCAAGCACTAAAGTTCTGTTTGTTTAAAAACTGATATTTTTAATATTGTAAAGCTGCAGACATACTGATTATGTAGACTCCTGATGATACACCAAGAACTCAACTTTGATCCAGCATTCTTTACAGGAATTCCTTGATCCTATCTGTCTTCTGGATGAAGCGTCGGTGATGGTATCCATTCCTCCCGTCCCTGACAGATGAGCCATGTTTTGGAGTGTCCTCTGGGCAGTCCACTTAACTGCCTGAAAAGGAACCCCTTAATCTCCACTTTCTCTTTGTTTGCACTATTATCAGACCTGTCAGTCCTGGCCGCTTTATCTTTACAGGACTCATCTTCTGGCTGTTTGACGTTGGCTTAATTCTATCAAAGGCCCTTATCTCTGCTTTGCCTCGGGATGCATCCTTTCTCCGACTCGCTAGAATGGTCCCAACCCTGATAAGAGGACGTCTTTTGGGGGCAAATAACACTGTTTTGTGTAAGGGCGTTTTTATATGCATATTGGTGGCGTATCTGCCTTACACGTTCTGCTGGATTTTTGCTTGGTTGACTCCCTCAGTGTCGGTGTGTCTTCTACAGTCTGCATTGTTAATTTTGGGGTGTAGTCTGAAATCTGAGCTAACGACGCAATGCTATCCCAGCAACCGCCACTGATCCAAATTGGAGATTGTCCCCTTTGATGGCAGTTAACTCTCTGTCTTTTAGCAGTCGTCACTTGAAACAGTCTGTAGGAATGTCATGCAGCTTGATCTGGTGAAGAGCAATTACATGGGAGGGAGCTGTTGCCTTTGAGGTGGAAGTTTACCTGCCACACCCTGCAGGCTTACAAATGAGCCTCTGGACACGTACCAAACGTGTGAGACTGGTCCCTTTTCTTCGTGTCCTTTTTCCCATGACATATGGTCTGACATGATTTGACAAGTGGGGGGCAGAGAGGAAAGCTTTGGCCGTGATGGTTATTTAACTCATCAAGTTTGCTTTGGTTGGCATTATGTCACGAGACAAATAGAAGAAGCCTTTTCAGAGCCCAAAAGGTATTTTGTGTTGGTGCCAGGTATTTGACTCAGGTCCCAAATATCTGAGGTTCCCTTGTGTCTCATGATGTCAGTTTAATTTAATTATCAATGACAGAATACATTTGTTATTTTTGATTTATTGTCAAACAAATGATGATTAAAGAATTAAGCTGTATTTCTCATTTACAGTTGGTAATACTGTGTGTGCGTATGACTGTTTCCATGTGTGTGCCGGTGTGTGAGACTGTGGGAAAGGATCAGGTTCTGGTGTGCATACACAGTAGGCCATCTATGGGTTCTGTACATGGGTTTGCATGTCAGAGAATATTTAGATGTTAATTCTTTTTTACCACTATAATAACCGAGACCCAGTGTTCGCATTTGAATCATAAGCATTGCATGCAAGGTCATGTGCATGTACGTTGCCTGGAAAACTAATCATGGAAAATACATGCGGCTTAGCCACTTGGACCAACAAAGAACTACCAATAGGTTAAGTACAGATGTTGCAATCACAAATTGGATTTTCCATAATGCAGTCGCTGTTACAAACGCTTAACTTTATTTAGATTAGAAAGGGCATTGCCCATTACCAACAGGCTTCAGGCACAATGTCTCTGCTCCAGGGATTAACCACAAGTTATGCTTTTATTTTGTTGGCGGGGTGACAGCCAAGAAAGGGAAACTTTCTAAAAAGTCACGGTTATAGGGAAAATTACCCTTTAACCATTTATTTTATTTTGTCTTACCCTCCACCACAAGCACAAACAAAATGGTTATTAAAAAAACTACTTTGGGACACTGAGTGGTTGGACTATGGCCATCAATGTTATCATTGTGTCTTTTTTGGCTCAAAAAGGTCTCTAGTTTCATTGTTGCCATCAGTTTGGAGGTCGTTTTTACAAAGAAAGTGGACATGAAGTGAGTTTCAAATATGATAATCAAGCCATGTCCACACTAAGATGGTCCAGATTCAAGCATTCTGGATATGCTTGACTTGATCATTTTTCCACAATGGTCTTCAGAAATGGACAGCAATTGCCCCACCAGTGAAAGGGGATCCTCTTTGTAATTAAAGCCAGTAGAAAATTGGATCATTTTTTGCCTGGACAGCTTTCACATTCCAGCCTAATATGGCAT